CTGAGGCGGGTGGGTGGCGGTCAGTGGGAAGCGCGAGGAGGCAGGGACGGGCCGTTTCCAGGGGGACAGAAAACGTGAGGAGCCCTGGAACATAAGAGTGGGTGCTCAGCCTTTCTCATTAAAAAAAGTAAGCGCATTAAAACTTCCCGCGAGTAACGGTCCCACCCGTCAGAGTGGTAGAGAGAGGCCCAGCGCTCGGCGCGGCGCCGGGTGAAGGTCGGTGGGGCGCGGCGCTGGGCGCGGGTGGGGAGTAGCGCCGGACAGAACGGCCTGAGTGGAGCTTTGACCCCCGCCCGTGCCAGACGGCTCCCCTGGAAGCCCCTTTCCCCAGGGAGGCGCGCACAGCTTCACTCGTGGTGGTGGTTCGTGAATTAGCGGGAGGCTGGAAACAACGCAACCGTCCGTTTTAGGAAAACGGCGGGATAAAGGGCGCGGTGGCCCCCGCTCGTGCCTCGTGCCACGTGCCTCGTGCCACGTGCCTCGTGCCACGTGCCTCGTGCCTCGTGCCACTCGCTACCCGGCAGGCTTCGCGGCACTAAAGAGTGTGAGGCGCCGGCGGCGTGTCCGCAGGCGGTGCACGCGCGCTGCTGCTCTTGGCAAAAAGGGCCGGCAGGGCCCAAACCAGAACCGGTGAGAAATGCAAGGAGCGGCGGCAGCGGTAAGTGGCGAATCTGGCGGGCGCCTTAAGAGGGGGAAATAGGAAAAAAATATTAAGCGGTAGTAATGATAATAGTAGAAAAAAATCAAAACAAAAGAGAGACCGCAACAGGAAACAGAAGTCCGAGAGGATGGCCGCGGCCGGCTTGGCTCGGTGGTTAGAGCGTCGGCCTGCAGATGGAAGGGTCTCGGGTTCGAGTTAGGTTCCGGTCAGGGACACGTGCCTCCGGCTGCAGGCTCCATCCCTGACCCCGGGCGGGGTGCGTGCGGGGGGCAGCCGGTGGATGTGTGTGTGTGTGTGTGTGTGTGTGAGTGTGTCAGTGTGTGTCTCTCCCTTCCACTCTCAAAAAGCAATGGAAAAAATACCGTCTGGTGAGGGATTAAAAGAGAAAATCTGTGACTATAGGTATTTGGTCAGCTTGGCTACTGTTCTGCAGACACCCAGCGCTAGACCCTGCAGGACGGGCGTGCTTGGCTGGGTGGGCCTCAAGTTATTCCTGTTGGGGCCTTGTTTTGCCCTTTGGAGTGAAGCGGGAAGAAAGGAAGTGAGTTGTTCCTGCTTCAAGCTCATATAAACTCTCCTTCCACAGTGGGAAGTAGAGCCTGGACCTGGGTCCCAGACAGCGGGGATGGTGGGGCCACGCGGGTGGCTCCCATAGAAGCAGAGCCTCCCGCTGCTGCTCTTCAGTGCCTGACTGCACCCCAGACGTGACTCAGTGGCCTTCAGAACACAGGAGGCCGCCTCCGTAGGTCTGTCCACCCAGCCATGCTTGCACTTGACAGCTTCCAGGCCAGACGGCTGCCCAGAAGATAAACGTTCTCGAACTGTGAGTACAGGGAGGTTCTTTGGACAAGTGTGTTTTTTAAGTCAAGTTAGGAAGAACAAAACAACCTTAAAGTGATCTGTTCTTAGGAAAACTATTTACATGTCCAGATTTAAGGGAGGGAAGAGCTGTGTGCACGGAGTTCACAGCAAGCTGGCCCTTAGCTTCAGGTGCTCTGAACGCTGCTTTGATTGCATGTTTTCAGTACAGCCACTGGAAAATAAGTTACTTTAAGGACATGAAGGGAGGAGACACCTGACTTTGTCCAGATGATGGCAGTGACAACGCGCTCTTAGGGAAGGAGGAGGTCTTGAAAAGCCTCCAAGGAGAGTTTGGTTAAACAGAAATGGGCTGTCTGTGGACACAGTTTTAACCCCCTGCAGGTGTGTGATGAGTGACAAGCCACAGCTGTTTGTGTGAGTGCCTCTGGAGTAGGCTGCAGAATAGGGTGGTGGTTGGATGGGGGACAGGGGGAGCGTAGGAACTCAGATGCCCTAAGATGGTTCTTATTGCTGTGGGGAGACTGAGCCCTGAAAGTCTCTGAACCTCCAGACCTGGAGACGGTTCCATTCCGATTGGCGCCTTGGCCCCGCGTGGCAGTGATGTACTGGCGGTGGCCCACCATGGCCTGCCTTGTGGAAGTCTTCCTTCTGTTTGCTCTCCCCCTCCTGCTTGTTTTTTTTTCTCCCCTACCTTATGCTTTTTAGTGGCCCTAATGGGATTTGTCTTTCCACAGTTGTGAACAAACAAGGTGTTTCCTTTTGGTTTCAGATACCAGGGTGGGGTGTTACCTTATGGTTGTATGTTAAGTTCTTGCCATCGACTCCAGGAATCTTCTAAGAATGGGTTTGAATCAGCAGGTACTTACTTCTTTAAGGCACTTTGATTTTCTTGACCTGTAGCAATGCTGATAATCTGGGGGGACATAGGGGTGTCAGTTTGAAATGGGTCTTTTTAAGACGATTCTTCTGACCACAGATGTGCTTGAGGGTGTCCCAATGAGGCAGATGGGGTGACAGAAATGGTATAAACAGAGGAGGTCGCTTATCTGGAAATGGCATTAGAGCACCCAACAGTTGCAGGGAGCCAGCAGGGCTTCCTTGAAGCACTGGAAGCCCAGAATGGGTGTCGAATATGCTGGGCTCTTCAGACACTGGCTTCCAAGTCCCTGGCAGGTGACAGAGTGATCCTGGTGTCTACCCAATACAACCCCACTGCGCCCCTTCCTTACAGAGCCCCAGTGGAATTGTTACCCCCTCCTCTGAATAGCCATGTGTTCAGGGGACCTGTCCCCAGCCCCAGGCATTTCAGACAACCACAGTGGCCCCATCTCCTTGCTAGTGACTGGCTGAAGCATGGATGCGTGACATATTCTAGCCAACTGGGACCTGAAGTCAGGACCAGTCCCCTCACTCCTAGAGATACAGCAAGAGGTAATGACCCTTTTCCTGCTTCTGGATGTGACACATGAACTCCTACAGCCACCTTTCAACTATGAGGAGAGGTGGTTGGGAAGAGAAGCCCACAACGCGAGGAAGATGGAGCTGAGAGAACTGAAGCCTGAGCCTGGCCATCCTGCGCCCACAGCCATTCCACCATGGACTCCTCAGGAGACCGAGCTCTCCTCACAGTTAAGATAACTGAGTTGGAGTTTGCTGATCTTTGCAGTTGGAACATCTTAGCTGACCCAAGTATACAAACATCCCTTCAGTTTACTTTTCCCATCGCCAGGCGAGTTCTGACAAGTACCATAAGTCACTCCTGTTTGGTATAATCCGCGAAGGACTGGGGGCAGGAGGAGAGGACAGGGAAGTATGGTGCAGGGGGCAGTGCAGCTCCGCAGTGCAGCCCGGGAGCCCCTACCTGCCGTGTGCATTCAGGGGGTAGCGAGAACAAACAACATAAGTGGGACCCTGAGACCCCGGAAAGGGAGCAAACAATCTCAAATCATAAAAAATTTTAAAGGTGTGGCAAGAAAGATAATAAATTTTAAAAAAAGTAAAAAGCACTGACATTCGGATATAACAACAGAGAGCAGACCCTCCTGCCACGCAGTCTGTCAGCCAAGAAGCGAAAGGAATTACAGCAACAGATGGAGAGGAAGCCCGAGAGAAGTCCTGGGAGCACAAGACGGTAAAAGAGGGCAGCTGTCCCCATTGTCACTAATCGAGGGGCGTCAAATGCCACGGCTTTTAATTTTGTTTGTTTTATTCCAGCAAATAAAAAATATAAGAACGTCATGGGTCCTTCCTAACTCAGTTGGCTGCGAAGTTTTCTGCCAGTGGGGTGATCGGAAACGAGGTCTGTGCAGCACGGAGAAATGGCTATTTCCTGTTACGCACTCCCTGCCTCATGGAAATGTGTTGCTCTCGTGAGGTGTCCTTGATGCTGCTCTGAGATCACTTTGGCATTTTATGGATGCTGTCTGTGAGGTTCTTTCCCTGCACATGGCCTGTCTTCTCTAAAGGGCTTTAATCTCCCTGAAGGCAGACACCACGCCCCATGGTTTGTTTCTGCTATCTGTAGTGTCTAGCCTAGTTCTAGGTGCATTATGAGCACGCAAATAAGTGTTTTAGTTATATGTAAAGTAAGTCTCATGCATCAATGAGGGAAACTCTTAGAGGGGCTCGACTCTGATACAGTTGTCTTGTTCCAGGATTGAGGATGAGATTGAAATGGGCTTTTTGCTAAAAGAGTGCTTCCCTACTACTTGCTTCCATACTGTTTGGAAGCTTCCAGAAACTCTTCTAAGGCAGAGTGCGAGTGTAGTGTTGTTAGACTGGACACGCAGGCACAGGCCCCGATGCTCCTCTTCCCCCAGCACCATGGATCCCTTCCACACCCCGGGCGGGGGCTGAGCCTTCACGTCATCCCTCCCAGCTGCCGCCCGCGACTGCCCTGGGTCTGTGTGGAGCATTTAGTCGGGATTGGGGACAGTCTGGGAGGGTTACCTATGTAACAGCTGGAACCTCACCCACAGGTGGAGGCCAAAGGAGTCCGGGCCATTCTCTGAACACCACAGTCCTGACCTATAATGTGATAGAGAAACTGCAAGAACTGAGCACATCTGTACATAACATGCCGCTACATCTGTAGGTGTAAGATCAAGTGAAGCCTATGAAAGTCTGAAAGTAACAAGGGCTGGGGTCGGGTCAGGGCTGTCACAGCATAGCAGCGGTGGACGTCCTGCGGGGCGGCGGAGGTGGCAGCCTACATGTCGTAGAGCCTGAGCTGCTCTTGCATGTCGCCATCGGACATCTCGCCAAATGTCTCCTTGTTGTCCTCCATGAGCTTGAAGATGGCCGCCAGCTGCTCTTTCTGAACTCTGTCGGGAAGAAAGGACACAGAGGAAAGAGACGCTCCCGACCCACGGCAGAGAGACACGCAGTGAGCCTCCGTGTACCGGGACACTCCCCTCATTCAGTACTCGCCAGGGTCCAGAACAGGAGGAAAACCAAACTCCAGCAGAACCCACGCAAAACATGAAGCTGGTTTGGTCTAAAAAACCCAACTAGAGGGTTCTAAACACTGGAGTTCTAAGTCTTGGGTTTACCCTGGAGATTCGGTGACCCCCAAGCTATCGCTCAGGTTCTGGGTGCTTCAGTTTCCCCTTGACCTCTTTTTACTGTTGACCACACGTCTCCCAGTGAGGCGAGGAGGAAGCCAAGTTGCATTAAGAGGCTGGAGATTCTGTGCAGAAATATGTTAGAAACAGCCTTAGCTTAGAGAAAGGGGCCACAAGTGGAGGAAGAAAAACACTATGGGCTGGGAAGTAGGGGTGCATACAGGGTCCTTGGCCGAGGGGCCAGGGTTGGGTGTGGGGCTTTGCTCCTCAGAGGAAGGGGCACCTCTTTCTGATTTGCACAGACATCTGATGGCCAGTGGGGCCCCTGGCCCTGGAGTGTGGCTGGGGATAGGCTCCATTAACACGCAGGCTGGGAGCACGTCTCTTATCTTTGAGGCTCAGGCACGTTATCTGACTGGCACAGGGCAGCTCCCACAGGTGAAGACAGAACAGGTGGGGTGGAACTGCAGCAAGACTCAGAACAGTGTGGTTCGTTTGCTCTGCCCTGGTTTGCTGTGCCATCGGCATGGCTGGGCACTGCGTGATAGCACCGCTCACTGTTCTGGCCTCAGGCTTCGGCGGTTCATCCCTCCATACCACACCACTGGCTTGACACTGGCCACCTTCAGAGGATATTGCCCGAGTGCAGGGTGGGACCTTTCAGCTATGGTCACAGCAGGTCCAGCAGAGCAGGGCTTTGGCACAGCCTCCGGTGACCATCGCCCTGTAGATGCAGCACTGCCCGCAGGGCCAGCACCCCAGCGCTTCCTGGGCAGGGGTCCCAATGTCATGTCTTACCCTTGTCCTAATGTATTCCTTCTGCAAGAACCCCATTTCTCCCCCTCAGCAGTTGGTTTTCCCACTAGAGTGGCATCTAGAAGCTGAAGTATTGAAGCCCCCAATCCTAGCCTCTCTTTCCCACCCTGGAAAAGTTATTTCCACAGTGTGTTCCTGTCTAGAGGAGAAGGAGCCTATGAAAGTGCTTTGTGCCCTGCTGCTTGGAGAAAGGGCAGTGCTAGGAATGGAAAGGGTGTGTAGGGAGCTCCCTGGATGATGGACTCACATCCAGATATACGTGCGGGCATCCCCCCAGTGGACGCAAACACTCTTCTGTGTTTTGATGGCTGACACCTGCATACTGTTAACAGGGTGGACACAGGACTGCACCCTGCTGGGGAGTACCAGGCACCAAAGTGAGAGAAATCTCAAGTTTGAAGGGGTTCAAAGGAGATTTTGAACAGAGCAAAGCTGAAAAAACACACAGTAACCATGATCATCTACTCAGAGTTTATTGGGCTGAACAGAGGCTGAAAACACAGATCCACGCCATCAAGAGCACGTGCGGCCTGGTGCCCAAGGTTCAGGAAGTTCAGGACAGATTTAGGTAACTAACCCGGAAGGAGTCCCCTGCTTATTGTATCAATAGCTCCCAGCCTGGACAAGGACATTGCTATTGCTGTGTGGGTCATGTGTGCTCACAAGAGGACATCTATCGTCACGCGGCTGTGTGGCTGCTGCTTCGTCGCCTGTTCTGCCGCAGGCCCTTAAACCTAAAGTATTGGACCCAGGGGAGAAGGCCCCTGGGAACATAACATGCCTTAGAGGCTGACATTGTACATTTCCCAGCCTTCCATTAAACGGAAAAAATTTTCTATAAACTTATTGCTTTAAAAAAAAGTTTTAACCAACACATCTAAAAACTAGACTAGTTTGGCATAGTATAAATATTGTCACGTATAAAATTCCAAGAAACTAATCTGGGACCAATCTGATTATGAGTTTCATTCTGACACTTCCTAGGAAAAGGCATGGTGAGAAATCTATTTCAAGTGAACGCTATTATTGCTTCAGCCAAAGTCCAGGTGGCGATGCGGCTGAGCTGGTAAGAGTGTCAGCGGAAACGCCTCAGAGCAACAAGAGGCCAATGTAAGCCTCCTCCAAAGGAACACAGGGGCAGTCGGTCTGTCGACGGCCCCGGTGCTCTGTTGCCCCGTCATCCATATAGCATCTCTCATCCCCCCAACTGAGCCAGACGGAGAGTGAGAGGGCAGTGGGCCATCCCTGACCCACCGGTGAGCAGGGGCAGCTCGGCTCCATTTGTCCATCACACCTCAAAGTCTTTCATGGTCTGGCTTCAGGGAAGGAAAAAGGAGGGCTGCAATCAACTACACTGTTTTTAAAGTGATGACCTTGTGGCCATCTCAGGTGTGAAGGGTGTGTGGTGGGCAGGGCTGAGCAATAAGAAAAATTGAAGTTCAGTGAGTGAGAGCAAACTCTTTAACCCTTCTGCTTAACAAAGCAATCCACCCAAACAAGGAGGAACACCCCAGACCCAGAGCACAGGCGCCCCAGGGTCCTCAGCCAGGGAAAGTCCTGCCTGAGGGTCTGCATCCCTGCACGGTGCAGGCAAGATGCACCCAGGAGATGCAGGCTGCTCTCTAGGTATTTCATTTATCTCTCAAGACTTAAAGATGCCAAAGGAAAAGCCTTTAGGGGGTGCTAAGGGTAACTTCATTATTCTTCGGTTCTGTAAGAGAAACGGGGAGAAAAGAGCATTGATTTTACTCATTCTGTCTTACAAGTACCATGGAGAAGGCGGGAATGGGTCAAGGAAGGAGAATGTTTGGAATTGCAGAAGCCAGGCCAGACACTGGCTTCTCAAGACACGTGAGGGGCAGTTTGCTTCTGAGCACCTTCAGCAAGATAGTCTGTTCCACTAAGCCAGCGGGCCCCTGCACGGGAGCTCAACAGCCCACCAACTCTCATTCTGAGTCTGCGAGGCATCTAGGTGGTCAGGTCAAAGCCTGCCTTTAGGTGGTCAGGTCAGGTACCACCCTTAGGTAGGCAGGTCGGGTCCTGGCACTTTTGATCTTTGACCCTGTGGCTGCGCTGGGAAGGTACTATCACTCTAGATTATTTCCTCTTCCCACTGGCTGGGTTTTGTCTCCTCTGGGAACACTGGCAGCTTAGGACTCTTGGTCCCCCCGATGAGGCCAACAGTGTACCCCCTTTTTCTAAATGACACAACAGACACACTGAGGGAACACAGGGATTCAATTTTGTCCCTCTGGCGCCCTCTTCTGGAGGTCAGAGTCAGTGCGTGTTTTTAGAAATTCACAGGTCAGGCAGCAGAAACTAGGGGAATATCCCACAGCCAGGGTTTCTCTGCCTCTTCTCAGCCATGCCCATCATGCCACACAGAACACCCTCCACTAGAGTCGTGCCCATTCCAGCACGGTGAGGGCAGTCCTGCAAACCTTTAGAGTGGGGTGGGCACTGGGCTCCCAGGTCCTCATCTATCAGAGCCAGCCTGGTCTACAGCCTGGACACCACTTTCCCTCTGGACCAGAGATGGGAGGCGCAGGTGGAGTGAAAGAAGGGGAGTGGATAGTGGCGCTTCATCTTTTTCCTGCCAAACCTAGGAGCCAGCCAAGCCCACCATCTTCACTAGCTCTGGGGTAAGGGGGATGTCTTGCTGGGGGCACAGTCACCAGCCTGCAAAACCACTGTCCCAGCCACACTCAGGCTGGATGTGGCACCTCCCAGAGAAGCTGCGGTGGGAACCAGGGACTCCCCAGCCAGGCAGAGGCAATGCCGTGAACCCCAGGCCCAGAAGACAGTGAGGAAGAGGCGGGCAGCCAGTGACGAAGCAGGTCTTAAGCAGCAGCTGCCTCTGGGTTTACAAACTTCGCCACTTTCTGCCCCTTGGGCAGAGGAATTGGATCTGTGAGCAGTCCCAAGGGTGGGGATGCCCAGTTAAACACATGGAGGGACAAATCTGGGGGCTCTTGCTTTCAGTCCTGCTTCTTACGGGCCATTGTCTGAACACCTGTAAACTGAGCCTTCTGGGGAGTGCTGGGTCATGTTACCATGAACAAGTCAGGCTCTAGATACTGCATGTTGGCTGAGTTAATAGTCAGGGACTTGCAGTATTTATTTCACTAGCTTGCAACTTGACTGGACCCTGAGCGCCAGGAAAGGAATTAGAAACAGGCCGAGTTTTGTTAGAACCTGACTGGCGAAGAAAGGAGTGTACTTTCACTGGCTCGCAGTTTTAGCGGCTTGGCAAACACATGCATGTTATTTTTCATACCAGTGCTCCCAGGGCAGTTTTCTGGGCTCCATTGGGACCAGAGCTGCCTCACACCCATCAGCTGCCCCTGTCCCCACCAGAACTATCTTGCTGTAGATGAAAAGACAAAGCCAAATGTGCCAGCCTCTGCAACCCAAGCATCTCCCTGCCCGGAACAGAAGCAGTCGCAAGAGGGGTGAGAACCTGGGGGCCCCACACAGGACCACAGGGGCTGAGCACATGCAGGGGCAAGAGGAGCAAGCAGATGTGTGGGGCAGCCACAGGGAGCATGCTGGGTGGGGCGGGGTGAAAATGAATACGAACTCCAGCCCCACCCTGTGAGGAACCCTGTTCAAGGACCATGAAGTCCACCTGACCCTCCTCGACTCAGATGTACCAGTGGTAACCACAGCCTGCAGGTGAGGAAGTGAGGACTCCATCACCCCAATAGCAGCACCAGGCACAGTCCCCACCTCACAGAATAGTGTGAGTCAGTGATCTAGAGACTCCCAAAGATCCTGTGGCGAAGACTCTGTTGGGCAACGCAGAGGCTGCTGTCCGAGAATAACAGAGAAGGGCTCCCTCGCATTCCCGAGATCCCAGCTCTGAACCCAGTGGCAGTGCAGCCTGACCCCCACCAGAGGCCTGGCATCCATCCACTAACTGGTCTCTCCTGTTCTAATGGTCCTTCACCTTTATAGTGCACACGAAGGACAGAGTCCTGGCCACAGCCTCTGTCCAGAGGGACATCAGAGGGAACACAGATGTGTAAACCCCTCTTTATCCAGGCGCTGCAAACTTTTCCTGTAAAGAGCTGGCTCTTTGAGGCTTAGTGGGCCACCTGGTCTCTACTGCAGGTAGTCAGCTCTGGCCAGTGCAGTACGAAAGCCTCCACAGACCCAGGAAAGGAGCCCAGCCCTGTTCCGTCACTGGACTTACAAGAACAAAGCGTGGTCGGCCAGCCCTCACTCTGGTCATGAAAACCTGCCTGTCCAGAAACTTGGGAGCACGGGGTTTCTGCCTCGCACTGTTCTCTACACTGCCTCACCTTAGGGTAGGACTAAAACCGGCCGTGACATCGTGTGCCTTCCCGCAGGCCTGGGTGGTCCCCGCAAGAGGGCACCAGCCCCACACCGGCCCAGACCAGTAGGCTCACCAGAGAACCTGGCGGCCCTAGGAAAGGGGCCCGTTCTCCCAGAGACCCCTATGCCCCAGAAGAACGAGAGGCTTGGTGCAGGGAACTGTGGTCACCCGTGATGAAGGCGGCGGGGCGGTTAGACCACGGCAGTTGTTTTGGGGACACATTAACAGACAGGATGAGGGAAGCACCACTAGTCTAAGAAGTCAATCTCCTTACCAAAAGGATTTGCAAGAATATTTGTGGCTCAGGACCTAAGGAACTTGCTACAGGGAAGTGAGGTCAGAGGTCAGCTCAATCCTGAAATATAAAGGCAGCAAACTGGGTCACACCAGAGGCAGCGTCATCGCAGGGAGGAGTGGGTGCTCCCGCGGCCACTGTCCCCTGAGCAGGGTCTTCCTTCGCGGGGATGACACTGCCACCCTCCGCCCCCAGGGGCAAAGCCTCCACCAGGGACCACTGCAGGAGGGGAAACGGGTTCTTGGTGGCTGGTGGGGGTAATGAGAGGGTGGCCAAGCTCTGTCCTGCTGGATAACATGCCCTCCGTTCCTCACAGGCTATGGTGCGCGCGGGGACAGCTGGGCTTGGGGTCAGACCCCAGATCTCCTATGGCCTTCTGGCGCTGTCCAGAGCTCCTTAGCCTCTGGCAGGCTGGGCTGGACAGGAAATGTGGAAACCTAGGTGCGCAGCGGGTGCCCGCTGGGTGGGGGAACAGCCCAGTTCTAAATGAGAAGCTCCATAAAGCAGAGCAGATAAAAAATGACCGCGGGCGCCGGGCTGGGAGGGGTGGCAACTGCCAAGCAGATGAGCATGAAGAATTGTGCTCTGCCCTGAATGATAGATTGGTTTTGTCATGAGCACCATGTGTGAGTGAACAGCCGGATCTGCTCCAGGCCCTTCCCTGGCATCTCCCTTTCTTTTCTGTGCGGTGGGGTGCAAGCGTCCTCCCCCCAGGTGCCCCAAGGGGACTATCTCCAGGGCAACTGAGCCTGGATGAATTCTGCCAGGACAGGAAAGAACCCCTGAAATGGAGATGCAAATGGTCTGGGTGGGTGCATCTTGCAGGGGGTGGGCCTCCTCTCCCAGCTCCTGAACCAGGGGTCGGGTGAGACAGCAGGGGCTCCTGCAGACCCCAGCAGGGAGCGGGCAGCCCCAGGAGGGAGGCAGCCTACCTGTGTTCCTCCTCCAGCTCCTCTTTGGTCATCAGCTGCTTGTACTGGTTTCCCCGCAGCTTCCCGGGGCTGTACTTGAAGAAGGCCTCTCCTCCTGCAAAGAGGGGACCCAGTAAGAGCAGGGGAGGTTTGGGCCTGCGCCCCTCCCACTAGTTGAGTCCCCTTTTCCTTTGTTGGCCCCCTTTTCAAAGAGGGGTAGAGGGCCCATGCAGGCCAGTGCCAACTCGGGCAGCCCAGGCCTTGGAGAGGACCAGCCTCTCATCCCTCACCTGCGCCTCCAGGTCCTCCTCCCACACCCTCCATGACATCCTACAGCAACTTAGCTCATTTAGGAACTGGGAACGGGGGGACCTAGACAAAAATGGGACAGCCAGAGGGAAAGCAGCACCCCCTCCTTCTACCACAGGGTTCCCAGGCTGAGCCATCCATCGGCCAAGCTGCTGTCTGCAAGGCCCCCCTCCCCTGAGCCCCCTCATTTCTGCTGTGCTAATTATAGTCAGACGGAGGGAGCTTATCTCTGGGAAGTAGGCTGTGCTAAGGCCCTGGGTTCCCTCCTCTTTAGGGCCCCAGATCCTGCACCGGGACCCCTGACCCTCCTGCTGAGGTCCTCCAGCCTCCAGGACTTGGAGTCTATGCCCCACCATCCAGGGGTGTCCTGTCACCAGGCTCACCCTCTCCAGCCCACAGCTGCCTTCGAAAGAACAAGGGCAGTTCTCTGGCCCAAGGAGGGGACACCGGGGGCTTGGACAGAGGGAAGCAGGGACTTGTGATGTGAAGCAAATGCAGGTGCAGGGCATAGGCCAGAGGGAGGCTGCACATACAGCCAAGTGCTGCAAGGACAGAGGAGAGCAGTGTCCGGGAGGGGGGAGCCCTGCTGGGGAGCAGCACCCTCGAGGCCTTCAGTGGGGTAGGCGTAGGGTACGTGGCCTCTGGGCAGCCAGGGACAGAGGCTGAAGGGCTTGTCTTATCTAATTTCCATGAACCCAAAAAGAACTGAGTACAGGAAACGCAGAGACCAGCAAATGGCCCTCCCGCACGGATGTGCCCTTTTCAGTTCTATTCCAGCGAGTTCACCTCTCTCCAGTGTCACCTCCACATCCTGCCCGCCTCGGGGCCACCCTGACCTCCAGCCCTGACATCCACGTGATCAGACAGGCATATAAGGGCCGGAGGGGAGGAAGAGCCTCAGCCTCCCTGGTTCTGGTTCTCTCTCGGCCAAACCAAGAAGGTTCATGGATGCAAATTCATAACCCAGACCCTATGCTGTGGGGGCTGGTCTGCGTCCCACCAACACCTCACTTAGGAGGAGGCTGGCTCTGGTGCACACGTGTTCCAGCGGCTCCTTCACCCTCCCCTCTGCCCAGGGCTGAGACCTCTGGCTGAGCAGTCGGGTTAGTTAACTTGCTCTGCATTCGTTCAGCAGACAGCGAGCACTGTTCTGGGTGCCGGGGCCTCCGCAGTCAATAAAACACAGCAGGCAAAGAGATTACAATGCCTAGTGCTCAGCAGAAGACAGCTCGGGAGAGGGAGGGGCCGGGGCTGCTTGGAGGACATGGCCCGGGGGTGAGGGGCCGGGGGAGGCCTGGTTCTTCCTCTAGAAGAGATGGGGCTCTGTGCAGAGAAAGGGTGAATCAGGCCCAAACTTCCGTTAAAGGGGCAGGAAGCAGCCTTCTTCCTGGGCCCTCAGAATCAGGAGCTTTTCAGCACAGGGTTTGGATGCCAGTGTCTGGGGGTCTGGGAACTCCGCTGAGTAACTTGGGGCCCCTATTTGATGGGCTTGAGTCTGTGGTCACCAGGAAAGCCCCAAAAAGCCTGCCACGGGCAGAATCACACTGAGCTGCAGACGTAGAACAAGCTGGCCATCAGTACTCGCCTGTGGACCTCAGAAAGAGGCAACAAAGAAACCAATTAACCTCCTCATCAAGGTCACTTGCTGTTTCAGAGAAACAAAATGCTGCCAGCTGGTACTGCTCTAGGTTTCAGTTTATGGGGCAGGTCTGATTGGGTTTGTTTCCAAGCAGAAAGGCTTAAAAAGGCTCTCATGTGATCACACCTGTACCAAGGGAGGCACAGCCACTTACAATTTTGCTAGACCTGGGGGGGTTCCCTGCTACAGCCCCCTGGGGAGGGGGACTTCTCTTGCGGTCTTATGTGAATCCACTGAGTGCTTCACTGAGTGACACAAATCCATTAGCCCGGGGGCTGAGCTGCTCACGGTTGGCCTGGGAGCCCACTCACGTTTTCTCCTGCCAGCTGGGGCCATAAGCCTCTCCTCCCTCCTTGTCAGGGCTGGCAGGAGGCGGCCAGGGGTGGAGGGTGTCCCGGGCAGCGGTCGGATAAAGAGGGATGGCCCTTGTCCTGGTCGAGGGGCCTCCAGCAGCCTCAGCTTTTGGTTTCTGTCTCCCCAAGTCACTAACAGGACCCACTAATGTGGGAGGGACAGATCCTGGGGCCACGGTTCCTGCAGACAGTCTGGGAGAACCCCCAGAAGGGGCTATTCCACCGCACCCACACACCCTGCAGCCACCTACCCTTCCCCTGAGGCTGTGCTGACAGGAGCAGACAGCCCAGCTCTGCTGGGCCTCAACGGGAAGGGGCCCCCGGCCCAGCCCTGCCGGCCCATGCGAGCCTCGGTTACTGCATTCCTGCAACCCTCTCTTTCCCAGGCTCCTGCCAGCTACCGACTTAAAGTCACAGCAACAGCCACACTTTGTAAAAATTATGAAATAGTTCAGACGTACACAACAGGGCAGCAGTAGGTCCTCCAAGTACCAGCCGCATAGATTTAACAAGTGTGGAAGTTTTGCTATTTTTGCTTCAGTTCTTTTTTAAAGAGAAATAAAACAGGACAAACTCAGCAGATGACCCACACCACGTTTGGGTCTGTCTGTCCAGCGCACTGGCCCCATGGGTGTCCAGGGCAAACACCCCTTCCACTCGGTCCAGTTTGCCTGGATCGGTGTCCTCAGTGTCCCTGGCCGCCGGGAATCTGATGACCAGGGAGGGCCTGCTAGTTAGCTAGAGCTGCTCAGAAGTCGGGGGTTTCCTCCCCTGGGGCCTGCATTCTGCAGGGAGCATGAGCAGCAGCCCTGTGAGTGGCTTTAGTCCCCTCAGAGCAGGGCGGTTACTGGAGAGACGTGAAATGCACAGAGCCGCGACGAGGGGATTAGGAGGCACCTCGGGCACAGGCAGGCAGGGTGCTCGGTTTATTTACCAGGTGGGCTGCCTGTGTTTGGAGGCAGCTCACATTTTATAGATGGAAAGGTGGAGACCCAAAGAGCAAGGGAGGAGGGTGCAGGAAGGTGGGCGGCATTGGAGGGAGTGGGCTCTGACCTGGACGTCCTTGGGGCCGTGCGGGACTCGGCACCTCTGCTCCTCTCCCTTACCCTCTCCCCATCTCTGCCTGCCACTCAGGTCCTTAGCTGGGGATCCCAAGGGCCCACAGTGCAGTGAGGCATTTGTGGCCAGAGGCCTGTGGCCTGGATACCACCCTTCACTCACCATCTTCTTCCTCAGGCTCTGCCGGGGGCGGGCCCTCCTCACCATCTTGCTCCTGCTTCCCTTCCTGCAAGACAAGGGGACATCAGTGCCGGGAGCTCAGGACGGTTCACTCTGTGACACAGTCACTCGGTGTCTGACCCCTGGGCCCACTTGCTGGAGAGACGTCCTGCAGCAGGTGGGGACTGGAAGCAGGTGACCACCTTGGTGAGGTGGGGCAGTGGTGGCTAGAACATGGGGGAGAGAGGAGGGCCCACCAAGGGCCAGCCTGACCACCACAGCCCTGACGCCTGTCCTTTAAGCCTGCCCGTGAGGACCAAGTGGGGGCCAGGTCAGCAGTGGGTGGAAAGTGTACGACGTCAGCGCAGACACCGTTTGGCCGAGATGATGGGGGGACTCCGGGCCAGGGAACGGTAGTTTTGACCTTGCACCTCAGTCCCTTTTCCAGGTGGGTGCTGGTTGAAGCATTTGAATGCCTTTTTGATACGGGACAGGGGCGCCTGCGGCCTCACTGCAGCGAGTGGAGCGGCAGGTGTGCGAGGAAAGTGAGGAAAGCAGGCAGCTTCTCTGAGGCCGCGCTGGGCCTCACGGAACCTGCAGCCAGGGTCCCAGGCTCCGCCGTCTCCGCTTCCGGTAATGCCGTCTCTATCCCTGACCAAGTCAGTGTGTCCCTATCCCTGACCAAGTCTGTGCGTCCCTATCCCTGACCAAGTCTGTGCGTCCCTATCCCTGACCAAGTCAGTGCGTCCCTATCCCTGACCAAGTCAGTGCGTCCCTATCCCTAACCAAGTCTGTGCGTGGTTCTCCCAAAATTGGAGCTCTGCCTCTTTCAGCCCGGTTCTCTCCCACGCACAGACACAACTAGCAGATGGCTGGAAAGGACGTCCTGGGATGGCCTTGGTGGAAGGAAGGAGTGACTTCAACTTGCGGGAATGTGGCGGATGAGGGGAAGCGCCAGTTGCTCCAGCTGAGGGGTGGAAGGCTGTGGCAAGGGGCCTGTGGCCTGAGGAACCATGACTTAGAAGCCCAGTGGGCAAATACGGACATTCCTGCAGGTGTAAGCTGGGAGACGGGCACGAACGAGCTGCCCCGCAGTGGAGAAGGCAGCACAGTGGACACCCAAAGCCAGGCCTAGGACTCCGGTTCTGGGGGTCCAGCCAGAGTTTGAGGCCTCGCAGGAGCACTGAGCGTCAGGCAGGCGCCAAACTAAACAGAATGAGCGGAGTTGGGAGGCAAAATCTGCACAAGCCCAAAAGCTAAGGACTTCCCCCCTCCTGGACCACACGACACATAGCCGGGGGAGCTGGGCAGCACATGGGAGCTGGCTCTTCACGTAGCCTCGGCACCATCTCAATGTGGGCAGTGCCGCCCTGAGCACTGGTCGGTACCTGGGGTTTCCGTGTCCAGGGCTTCCTGAATTTTGCACTACAAACCGTCCCCGTGGCTGTGGGGGTGCCACAAAGGAGACAAGCCTTTTACTCTGCGAACCCACTCTAGGGATGCTCTGGACTAGAAAACCATCCACTTGGGGCTTTATACAGTGACTCCGATGTGCGCCTCAGAAACAACACAAAACAACTAAATGTTTTCTCTGTGGTTAAGTATGTGACAGTTAAGTATATTTGGTTAATATGTTTGCCAGATATTAACAGGTTAAACATTACTGTGCACGCAGACCGCGTACAGCGAGCACGGAAAGGAGGCGCCCCGCCCCGGCCAGGCGTTGTGGTGGGTGGGGTACCGTCCCGTACACAGAAAGGTTAGAGTCCCGCTCAGGGCACATACCTGGGTTTTGGGTTTGATCACTCGTTGGGGAGCGTCTGGGAGGCAACCAACTGATGTTTCTCTCTCATGTGGATGTCTGTCTCTCCCCCCTTCCCCCCTTCCTCCCATCAGTAAACATCCTGGGATCAGGATTAAGAAAAGGCAGGCACCCTGCCGTCGTGGTGGGAAAGTGCATCCAGATAAATCCCCCAGCAGCAGCCCGGGAGGGGGGCGCAGTCTTCCTGGCTCGGATGGAAGCAGCACACATGCTCATAAATGCAGAGAAAACCTTTCCTGCGAGGACAGCGGCTACCCCCAGGGGGCGGGGGCAGCCTTTTCTTTCCATCTTACACGCTGCAGTGTAACTTGGATTTTATAAATATGCATGAATTGCTCTTAACATATTTTTTAAATGCTACACGCAGTCTGTGAACAGTGAGATGGGGTACTGTATATTTTTTTCTTTAGTTTAAAAAAAGAGACAAACAGCCATTAACTTAGTAAGGGCTAGGCCCCAGGAAATCGCTAAATACTGAGACTAAAGAGGAGGTCAGTCGTCCTATTACATCCGGGGGACATAAAGATTGAAAGAAAACAACAAAAACCAGCACAGTCTCTGTCCTGAAGGAACTCGTGTCCAGTGGGAAAGACACAGATCATTCAAAAGCTGCTGCAGAGCCCAGCCTGTGTGGCTCAGTGGTTGAGCGTCTACCTGTGAACCGGGAGGTCACGGGTCAGATTCCAGGTCAGGGCACCTGCCGGGGTTGAGGCCCTGCAGGAGGCAGCCGATCAATGATTCTCACCATTGATGTTTCTCTCTCCCTCTCCCTCTCCCTCTCCCTTTCTCTCTCTGAAATCAATAAAAACATGTTTGGGAGGGGGGTGGGACCGGGTAGAATGGATCATTGGGGAGAAAAAGGGACATTTGTAATATTTTAAACAAAAATAGAAAATAAAAATTAAAAAAAAGCTGCGGCAGACCCTGTCATCCCACAGGGACATGGCTGTGGTCAGCCTGACAACACCCTCCTGGGAAAGGCTGTTGCTGGTCTACATTTGGGTTTCACACTTGATTTCTTTTTAATATATATATGTTTTTATTGATTTCAGAGAGAGGGTGTGAGAGGGAGAGAGAAACATCAATGGTGAGAGTCATTGATCCGCTGCCTCTGGCACAAACCCTACTGAGGATCAAGCCCACAACCTGGGCATGTGCCCTGACTGGGAATCAAACCCGTGACCTCTTGGTTCATGGGTTGACACTCAACCACTGAGCCATGCTGGCCGGGCTGCACTTGACTTTTGAGTGTAGTGCTTTCTAAACTGGTTGTGACCCGTGTGGTGGGTCCCGAAAGTAATTTGGCGATCGCTACTATTGTTTTAGAAAATGTGCAGCCAGTCTTAGTGCGGTTTTAAACTTGAATAACTTCAGGAGCATAAATGCTACAAAACATACCAAAACCCGGCATTTGAAAGGTTAGTCATTTACATTTTAAATATATTCAGATTCCTGAGACCACCACCTAGTGCTATACGTGGCTGTAGTTGGTTTTCAGACTTTGGAAACACATTCATGGTCAGTGACGGAAGGGACTGCCTGTGTCATTTCAGCCTTATGAGGACCTGATGCACATGTGACAGTGTGGACACGGTGACCTCAAGAGAGGTTGACCAGCTCGCCGAGGTGCCCATGGGAGAGGCCCCTTCCCCCTGCCCATCTGGCCAAATTTTCACCTACGCAGAGAATTAAAATGGAAAATTTAGCATTCAAATGTCAGGAAGCTAAGTGTAAAAGACGTTTAAATAAGTAAACATTCAACTGATGTGTTTTGTAGGTCTGTAGCATTTACACTTCTCTTAACGCTATTAAAACTTAAAACTGCACTGAGACTTTGAGGGCACCCCTGAATCCTAGAGTTAAATGAAAGGTAAACAGTGTGGTGTTAGTGGTAGAGGCAGATAGTGTTTTATAAAACTTCTGGTGGGTTCTGTGACTATATCCACAAATTAAAATCAGGTTTTCATTGTGAGACATAATGAAGTTTTCAGAAGACTCAGTAAAGTGGCTACTTATTGTTTCCTGTCTGCACGGAAACCCCTTTCAGAAGATGCCCTTTGAAGCCTGCAGTCCCAGTGGGAGCTGCCAGTGAGCAGGCCCTGATCCAATCAGACTGGAGTTCTTATAAGAAGAAGAGATTTGAACACACAGAGAGACACCAGGGATGTGTGGCACAGAGGAAAGGCCACATGAGGACAGGGAGAAAACAGCAACTGCAAGCCACGGAGAGAGGCCTCTGGAGAAACCACATCTGCTGACAGCTGGACCTGACAGTTCTGCAGAGAGGCAGTGTCCATTGTTTGAGCCACGGTCTGTGGTACTTGGCTATGGCAGCCCAAGCAGAGGAACACACCCTGCTCCAGTGAAAGCAAATCAATTTAATGGCAACTGTGAATTGGTGACACCCTCTGAGACAGATAGCTGGCGTCATCCAGGCTGGTCCCCAAAGCAGGCCCAACCCAGCCACCCCACCGACCAGTCCCCCTACTCTATTACTGGGTAGCGACTGCTCTGAACTTCACATGTCCAGCTCTTTCCTCCAGTGCAGAGGGTGGGGTGGGGGGAAAGCACGGGGAAGTGCCTTCTGACACCTCGCCAATGCCAGGAGCCCAGTACCTGGGTCCCTCTGAGACCAAGAGGGGAGGAGTGGCTGAGGGGACAGGCAGGTGGCTGTAGGGCACAGAGGAACTCAGAGGGAGGATTCTAGGACACGCTGAGAGCCGGACATGCATCCTGCAGGCAGCACATTGCCATTTATGGCTGCCCTGGGGGATCTGGGCTGATCCACAGCACGGAGGCGGAGGGGAGGGAGAGGGAGACAGAGAGAGGGATAGATACAGGTATCTTTCTGCCTGCCTGATGAGCTGGTTCTCCCCTCGGGTCCTGCAAACGGGGTTGCTAGGACCCTGTGCCACCTTGGCTGCCTCCTACTGTAACCGCCTGCTCCCCCCAACCCCCATCCCCGTTTAATCTGGGATGGTTTTAGAGGACCACATCTCCACTAGGCANTGCCCTGCCCTGCCCTGCCCTGCCCTGCCCTGCTTCCCCTGTAGCAGGCAAGGACAGAGATAATAGGTCACTCTCAAGGGCTGCACATACTGCCCAGGGGCCTGAGAGGGTCCAGGAGACCCCCACCATCTCTGGAGGGTTCCCAGATGGGTACTGAGAACAGCAGGGGGCAGGGCTGCCTCCAGGCTCTCGCAGCAGGCTGGCTGCCCAACAGTGCCCCTCCTTCCTGAAGGATCCCATTAGGCAATCAGCTGTTCATCTTCTGCACTGGGGGGGGATCGGCTCAGCAGGGGGTGAGCAAAGGCGGCAGAGCTGGCGCCAGGGTGGCGCTGGCAGGAGGGCAGGCGGCAGAGGTCATGGCTGGGTCTCTGCACGCAGACCATCAAATCAGCTCAGCCTCCCCAGGCTCCAAATGACAGCTCAGGCCCAGGGCACTCAGGCCAGCTCTAAATCTGTAACTGCAACTGGAAGGCACATCCCTGTGACAAGGGACTTACATCTTCTTGTCCCAAACTGGCCCCCTCTCAACTCGTCAGCTTTTCTCTGGTCACAGCACCCCTGGCCCAGGAAGGCCGAGTGGAGCCTCATGCTTCCTGCCCCTCCGGGCTCCCCAGCTCTCTGCCTCTGAGAGCTTCACCCTCTTATTCATGCTCCTGCCACCATCACTCAGCGCCTTCCCCTGGCACCCCGGAGGGAGGACGGAGCAGGAGAGAGACATCGATGTGACAGGCGCATGGGCTGGTTGCCTCCCACCACCCCAACCAGGGCCAGGAATCGAGCCCGCAACCCAGGTACATGCCCTTTCCTGGGAACCAAAGCCAAGACCCTTCGGTGTGCGGGCCGACGCTCTAACCACTGAGAAC